CCCTCCCTCCATCCATCCCTCCATCCCTCCATCCATCGTCCATCCATCCATCCCTCCATCCATTCATCCCTCCATCCATCCATCCCTCCCTCCCTCCATCCATCCCTCCATCCCTCCCTCCATCATCCCTCCATCCCTCCCTCCATCATCCATCCATCCCTCCCTCCATCCATCCATCCATCCCTCCATCCATCCATCCCTCCCTCCCTCCCTCCCTCCCTCCATCCATCCCTCCATCCCTCCATCCATCCATCCAAAAAGCTTATTTTTACAGATACTCTTTTGAAATTTGAAATGTGAATAGTCAGCAAGTTATACTAATGGTACATAGTGTCCCCAACTGCCTACTGCATCTATGGGCACCTTTATTTTTACAAAGAAAATTAGGTGAGAACAAAAAATTCACTTTTTATTTGAGTTCAAAGGTGCATAACTTTTTAACCGCGATACCTACAATGATTCTGATTATTATGGGTGAAACTAGAGATTGTTACCTTTACAAAGAGACCAAACATGTATGTATACTCCAGAGGGTTCAATAAGAGCACCAATTCTAATTTGGAGAGGTCAAATCACAAGCGATTTAGCCAAAAGGACCCCGCTTGATAAGGGGTTAAGTTGCAAAGAATGAAAGACAAAACTACAATTCTAAAATATTTCTGGTATTAATCATGTATGCATTTCACATGTAAAAGCTTTAAAACTACGATAGTAGGGTCCTGACCATAAACTACCAGAATGCCAGTCATCGCCATTAAATTCAACTTTTCAGTTGTCAGAGTTATGATCTGCAGTCCCACGCTATTGCACACGTTGGGCGAGGACCTACATCAAGCGTTCGATCGTCCTCTATACATGGGGTAAGACAAAAGAAAGTTAACAGCCAGGTCTTTAAATAGTTGGAGCCATGGGATGCGTGGACACAATCAGGCTGTCCCATCCACCAGAGAACGAAGAGAGAATTCACGCTACGTACTCTCCAAAGGTTTGGAATCAAGGACAACGACAAATCTAATAAATTCTATTTAGAGACGGCTCAAAATATAGAATAATTATGGCTGCCATATTTGCAGCTCAATCAATCAACAATAGGGTAGGAATGAGGCCACCGAGTCCAGTGAGTCCACCGAAGGACTCCGGTTATTACAACCGCTAATTAGGTGTCGACCGAAGACGTTGGGATGCTGATCGTATCCTGATTTCATATTAGAAATTATAGCTGGAGGTTCTTTAGATGTTTTTTAACACATATTTACAAATTAACTTTTATTTTTGGTCTTAATTTCACAGTAATGACTTGTTTTTAGGTTATACAAACTTCTGTCATTAAGCAGAAAAAAAAACGACCAGGAAAATTCAAAAGTTTCTTTTTCTGTGTCGTTTTTCTTCTTATTAAAACACGAATGTTACAAACACACAAAAGAAGACAAACACATTTATTTTTGATCATGTTCACGTGTGTTTCTCCATAAAAAAACTACTCTAGCTTCTACTGACAGGTAGAGAACAAAATTCATGGTTTCATCAATATGGCAAGTTGTTGAGGCAGCAAAGAAGCCCAGACCATCATGCTACCACCACCATGTTTGACCACTGATATGATATTCAGATTTTTCCAAAATGCAGTGTTGACTTGAATGTCTGCAGAGCTTTAGATGTGCTCTTTTATTCTTGGATTTATTTAGAACAGAGTAGGTTTTGAGATCTTTTTGCCTACTTCCCGTAGTTGGACCATCCATCCATTGTCTGAACCCGCTTGTCCATGTAGGGTCGAAGGGGGGCTGGTGGTGGTCAACGGGCAATCAGGCGGGGTACACCCTGGACAGAGAGCCAGTCCATCGCAAGGCAGCTCAGAGACACACAGGACAAACTATCTCCTCTGACACACACACACACACACACACACACACACACACACACACACCTAAGGACAATTTGGACAATTTGGACAGACCAATCAACCTAACAGTCATGTTTTTGGACTGTGGGAGGAAGCCGGAGTACCCGGAGAGAACCCACGCATGCACAGGGAGAACATGCAAACTCCATGCAGAAAGATCCCAGTCCAGGAAGCGAACCCAGGACCTTCTTGCTGCAAGGCAACAGCTCTAACCACTGCGCCACTGCACAGCCCCATAGTTGGACCTGTTGTAATCAGATATCAGATCTACGTGTGACGAGTGGAAATAAACCCAGCTACTGTGGTTATTCAATGAGTGATGGGTGACTTAACTCGGCCACAATGACTTTTTCAGACAGAATCAGGATGGTTTGGATAACTTTTTAGCTAATCTATGAAAAACTCTTTCTGTTTTTGCTCAGGCGATCCTTATCTGCTCTAATCATGACATTTGGTTTGCTGATCTGAAGTTTACAGACATAACCTGTAACAGTTAATAACGGTAAACACTGAATTCCCCTTTAAGAAAAGGCAATACTAGCTGAATACTTATTCAGTTTATTGAAAGTTCATCAGAACAGAGTCATGGTGTGATTTGAA